CATAGATCCTCAAGAGCTATTATGTGGAGGTACTCATAGTTCTACAAGGGCTATTATATGAGGATACCCATAGGTCCATAAGGGTTATTATACAGAAGTACCCATAGGTCCTCAAGGACTATAATGCTATAAGGGGGTAGGGGATAAGAGGCTAAGGATACAGGGACATAAGCAATAAAGCTAAAAGAGTAGAAGAAAATAAGGGTATAGTGGATAAGTAGATGAGGCTGTACGGGATATAAGGGATAATGGAATAAAACTATAAGAAGTAATACCACAAGAGTATAAGGCTATAAGATCTCTATATATATCATGCGAACTGTCTGATTGTCTATTACCGAATCAAGACCAAAGGACATATGTGAAACTTTACAGGAAAAAAGCATCCGTGTAGTATGCATGGGTTCTCGCTAGTTTTAATTGTAAAAACGAAGTATTTTAATCTATCATAGTTATGAACAGGGCCTATCTGCATAACATGCTAAATGGACAATTAGTTATTGATACTAATTCACAATGCCAGTATTCGTTTTGATAGAAAACAAATAAAGGTGAATAGTGATTCAAAGTTAGTCTACTAGTCCTTTGTCGAGAATACATTTCCATAATGAATTCATTCATTTAAAATAATGTTTTAAATCTACTAAATCCTATACAAATCTTCTATTGCCTACATCTTAAGTCTGAAATATGGATGTGCATTCCATTGATCGCTTAATTATTGTGTTGATGAAACTTCTTGCATACTTAGTTCACTTTGTACTCGATAGAACTTTTCAAGCGCTACAAAACACGAACTACTTTCTCTGGGCCACTTAACAAAATTCTTAGTCTACTATTATCGAGGCCCAATTTTTAGTTTCTCCGGCTAATATTCCCCAGTATTTGACTTCAAACAAACATAATATTTGAAATCAGCATAAAAAAAGTGCGTCGAACTTATGTATTTTACAGATTTTTTTTATTGTTTAGTTATCCGAATTTTTGTCTTCTAGTAGCATTTTATAAGCTCAGAATTTGTTTTCTACTATCCAGATGATCTTTTGATTAAAATCATTTTTTTTTAATTGACCCCTGAGATGTAATACTGGTTCATAATACAAGCAATCGAAGATTTGAATTTAGTTTTAATATATCGTGAAGGTAGACCCACACTCACATCTATGATAGATGAAAATAACTTGATTTTAGAATTAAAATGATCAGAAATTCATTCTTAATATGACTTAATTAGATTAGATCTTCTATTCACCTGAATCTTCTATGTGTGATGATATAGTAGAAGTAATATGTTCGGTTTTTTTCTTTTTATTTTCATCATCAATTTCTTCGACTAGTGTTCGATTTGATCTTGGTGATATTATTATAATAAAATCAAGAATTTCTTCCTAAAAAAAAATAAAAACTTATTTTTTTTTGTTTTCTTCGAAAAAATGAATTTTTTAATATAGATAAAATACCATAATTAATTTATCAATTAATTGTTGTGTTAAACGAAAACGATATTTTCCATTTTCAGACATATATAATTTATCATCACATTGACCTAATTCAATTAAACCATTACGAGATTTAAGTCGTTGACGATAATGATCGATTTGATTTGTATATTGTTTTTCACCGGTTAGAAATAAAATAGATGCATTTATTTGAGTAAAATCATTCTATTAATAGAAATCAACAAGATTAATTTATTTTTTTGTTGTATAAAATTTATCTTGTTTTTTTTTTTTTTACTTTTGTTTCTTCAGATAAAGCTTCAAATGGTAGAGACATACAAATGACAGTTGAAACAGAACAAACAAGTGCAGCTTTAAGTGCAAGAATACAACCAACATTCCAACCAAGAAACATTATATGATGATTTGGATAGAGTTGACGAATCTTAAAATAAGAATTTATTAATTAAAAATTCAAGAATATATTTCTAATTCAACTCTATGTGAATATTTTTCTTGTCTAATATCTTTTGCACTTGTTTATAGAGCTCATCACGTTAAAAATTTTCGGATCCCGGATTCGATCGAACTGCACTTTGATATTCGTAATAAAATCTTCTAATCGGTATTGAATAGGCATGTTGAAGAAACTTTTTTTTTCTGGGTTTTTTTGTATTCGGTGACTAACGCACTCTGTACATATCCAAGATGACTAGTGATATCGCGTGACCACTGTAAGAGAAGATGTGTTTCTCTAGCACTAGCAATAAAATGGCATTAGTTTTCGTCGTAAATGTAATCATTTAAGAAACGAGCACTAATGACATATATCTTTTTTAGAATTCTTACCTAGACAATAGGGTTCTGACCGTCGACAAAATATGACCTTGAACAAAATTTTTGAGATGTCTCTATCGCATAATCGATTATGATTAATATTCATTTTATTATGGGTTCCATGCTGCTACTTCAAAATAAAAATTTCTTATACTTCAATTCTACTTGATAAGCATTAAATATTTTTCTATTATATTTATCTTAGCAGTCTTTTTATGCCTTTTTGTTTCGATAGTTAATTCCTAAGTATTCTATTCGTTCTATCAGCAGTAGTTTGATACTTCACATTAGATTATTCAGTCTATCACCAATAGAAATATACGAAAAGTATATCGAATACAGCGCTAAATACAGAAGTGAATATTGAAAATTATGAAGACGTTTGTGTACAATTCAATTAATTAATAAAAAGAAGTAGAAACAAGTCAAAAGGAAGGATTTCAGGCTTGACTATTGTAGATCTACATGCAATGGTATAAATGATCAAAGATCGAAGGTCTCCTGTGATTCTAAGAACTATTAGCAATTTTCAGAAATATTTAAACGTGAGCTTAACTCGCTTCCACAATTGCCTATAAAGTTCGAAAAACGCTTGGATAGTTTCCGAACTCCAGCTATCTAATTACCACAATTTTGTTGTAAACCTTCTAGTATAATCTACCTATAAAATCATAAGTTTTCGAAATATTCTTCTAATATTCTCGGAAGTGAAATCTATAGAAAAACAAAAAGTGGTTGTATGTTAACTCATCAGATTCCGACTATTGTAGACAAGAGTATAAACTTTTCGTTTAATTTACTTCATTAAATTTCGTAATAATATCTTCATAAGCTGTTTGAATTTGTAATTGTTCTGATTTATTATCTTTTTCAATTGCTATCGAAAGCATAACTATTGCTATTTGAGAAAGATTTCGTTGCCAAAATTGAATACGTTCCATATGACCTTCATATATTAAACCAGGAATTAAAAGACAAACAATTGGTATTGGTAATGAAGACTAAAAAACACAGAAAAAAGCGAATTTTTTTCTTTCAAAACAAATATTTGTTTTTTTTCTAACTACCAATGTTATACTATAAATAACTTCTTCAGTAAGATCATTTGGTTTTTGAAGTAATTTATTATAAACATATGAACAAAGATTTGTTGTTGTTGTTGTTGTTGAATATGATTTTGTTTTTTCAATAAATAATGAACGAATATTAGGATACTAAATCTGATATAATGAAAACAAAATTGATTTAAAATTTTTTTAGATTTTCAAACCTCATTATAAAGTATTTGAAATAGATCTACATAATGACCAATTAATATTCGATCAAATGTTCTACATATATATTCATGAAGCCAATCAAGTAAATTTTTATACTAGAATAATTCGAAAAATTTCATTGTTTTATTTTTATATCAATAATTTTAATTTTTTTTACATTTGAATGAAGAGTAAGAAGTGAATAAAGTTTTGAAACAATATGATGTATTGATAAACGCCAATAGATAACATTACAATTATTCTAAAAAAATAAAATTTCTTTTTTTTTGTTATGTAATAAAATAAAATCATTGAATTATACTGATTCACAACATAATGAAGCAATATGTGTTTCATTAATTAATTCACGAATATCTTGAATAAATGTTTCTTGTTCTTGAGTAAGATTTTCATTAGATAATTGTTGTGAATATTCAAATGTTTCTGGAATAATTGTATTAATTGTTGGTGTCCAATTAATTTTTTTAATATTTTCATTATTCAATTTTTGATTATCATCAATATCAATAATTAAATCATTTCTAGAGAAATTCTTTTTTTTTGAAATATTAAAATAATAAACTATAAAAGAATACATACGTTGAAATTGAATTTAAAAATAAT